CATTAATTGCTGATCTTGTATACTTGCCCTAGATGCTGATCTTCTATAAATAATCCAATTGCTGATCTTGTTTACTTGCCCTAGATGCTGTCCTGCTGATCTTATATACTCACCATAAAGAATACAAGATCCACCACTGCTGTAAGTGTATGAGATCAGCAAATAGGAAACATCTAGGATAGGTAGACAGGACCAGTAGCAGGGGTAAGTAACAAAGATCAACAACTACAGTATGCAAGCACTATCCAGGGTACATAGGAGACATCCCCAATATCCTAGTTACTGATTCTGTATATCTACCCTAGTTATTGATATGCATATATACCATAGATGTAAATATATACCATACTTGTGAATATCTCTTACTTACCCCAGTTGCTGATCTTGTATACTAACTTAGTATTGATCTTATATACTTCCTCAAGTTGTTTGAACTTGTATACTTACCCCAGTTGTTCTTGTGTACCATACCCTTGTTTTTGTTCTGTGGTTTTTTCTTACTGACTATATATACGGATATCTTTCTTACCTATTCTAATAGTGGATCTGGTATACTTACCTTACTTGCTGATCTTTTTAACCCTGTAGGTGCTGATTTTGTATACTTACCCCAAATACAGACCATACTTACCTAGCATTGTCTCAGCATGTACACCTACCAAGTACAATTTGTCTGAGTAATAGCTCTTGTATATCAATTTTGTCCTCAGATCCATAGAAAATTACTGTTTGATTTTCAAATTATTAATTTCAACCGTCGTGACCAACTTATGTCTTCCTCCGTCAAGTCCATTTCTAGTTTAGTCAATTACCCATAACATTAACACTGTCTCCAATTGATAAGCCCGACTATCTCTGTCTGCAGCTTCGTGGGCGGACGGAATTCTTGGGGATGACGACCCCTGTCTGGTGTGGACACCTATGCACTTTTTCACGTTTTCATTCATATACATAATTAATTGTTATTTATTATCAAATTAGTTTACTTATTTTCTGTAAAAAAAATTATTTAATATAGAAATAAAATATTGTTTAAATCAGTTCTGCTACGGTTTGACACGGTATGCGCGGTCTTGAAAGGCGTATAATCCGTGAGCACAACCTAGCTGAATATTCAGCATTGTTAAAAAGGGGTATCACTTACCCAACAACAATAATGGGATACACTCTAGTTAATCTAGTAAATGAATATGCAGCCTATAAACTACAAGGTAAACATTTTATGAAGATAATGACAGCTAAAATTTGAAGTAGGGTTCTTGAAATCAATATGCTTCAGAACTTTCATGCAAACTGGGGCCCTTGTGACTCAGCGAGTTCAGACTCTTGCTTACAAACCTGAAGGTCCTGTGTAAGCTCAATCCAGACTTAGGTGGAGATAATACCTTCAGGTTTCAAACGGAGGGGCTGACATGGAAAAAGCATCTAGTCATTCAGATAGGACCATAAGCTGTAGCTGTGCTTTAGACACTGTTTGTTAAAGATCCCATGTTACAAATTGAAAACAGAGAAGGCTTAAGCAGTTGTCATAGTAAAAATCTTCATTGCACACTGCATGGCACTGCCTGTCATTATAAGCCCTATCAATTCACCAAAATGTCCTGACAGAACTATGCTTTGCATAGATTTTAAAGTGGCTAGATTCACCTTGGATGTATAGAAATGACTGCCTTTCAGTAAGGATCTATTGATATTGTATGTAGATTCCAAAAGTATTTAATTGTAAGATAAAAGATTATAAAGGATTGATAGTTCTTAGAAGCATTTGTATTGTAATTTTAAAAAAAATTGTGTTTTACAACAATAAAATTTCATATGTCTTATTTTGTAGATTCCAAGGAGACATCAAGTTCAAGTGAATTATGGAAACAATTTGATGTAGTTGTTAAACAGTTAAAAAAATCAACTCAATCCAAACTCAAACAAAAAGAAACACAAACTGTTCGACATCGGAAACTGAATAAGAAAACCAAAAATCGGAAATTGTGTGCGTCAGTCTTGGACATCAAAGAAACAAGTGATGAAGGATGGGTATCTGACAATAGCCCGCTTGATGTAGTCACAGAGGAAACAGTGCATAGTGATGATTCAGATGATGATGAAATTGGGCAAGGCTAAGCGACCATTTTCAAAAGCATCTACACTGAAAACTCATCT